TGGAGCAAAGCCATGTCCAATGCACTTGGCGCGAAGAACAAGCTCGGTTTCATCAATGGAGCCATCACTGCACCTGCAGAAGACGATGGTCAGTATGACCCGTGGAGCAGGAACAACATAATGGTTCTAAGCTGGATCCAACAGGCAGTCGAACCTGGTATAAGGAAGACAACCATGTCCCTGCAGCTTGCATCTAAGGCATGGCAGAGTCTGCGAGCAAGATATGGACAGGGAGACTTGATCAGGATAGCTGAGATGATTGAAGCTCTCTCTACCTTGAAGCAAGGTAATTGCTCTGTGACTGAGTACTATGGTCACCTGATCACTATTAAAGATGAATTAGACAGCTATCAGCCTATCAATCTTTGTCAATGTACTCCAAATAGCTATCGAGATTGTGCAGCCATGAAGTTAGTCCTAACCTATAGGGACACTAACTATGTGATCCAGTTTCTAAGAGGATTGAATGATAACTTCAGCTCATTTAGGTCCCAAGTTATATTTGGAGAGACCTTGCCATCAATTGATAGGGTTTGTCAGAGAATGATGCAACATGAAAGGCAGCAATATGGCACTCAACATGCTGATGTTCTATCTACTGAAAGTATGATACTGTCAGCCCAAGGTTATCAGGGCAGAATGTCAAACATACCTGGGAAGAGGCCATACTGCACCTTTTGTAAGATGTTGGGCCATGTTGAGGATGCCTGTTACCACAAACATGGCTGGCCTCCAGGAATGCAGCCTCGAGCCCCTCCTCCTATTGTCCCAGCTGCTACTAGATCCCTTACTTGTACCTACTGCAAGAAGAGTGGTCACATTGAGGACAGGTGCTTTCAGAAACATGGCTACCCTCCTGCAACAGGCCAAAGGAGCAACAACACTTCTTTTGCTAGGCCTAAACCTCATGTCAATACTGCTGCTAGTGACATTCCAGATGACAATCAGCAAGAAGTCTGCCTCACCAAGGCAGATTATGACTGGTTCATGAGCCTTCTTGCAGACAGAAAGTCCCAGGCCTCTACATCACATTCAGCAGCAGCTGCCTTTGTTCATCCTCACTCAAACAGTTCATGTGAATTCTTACTTAATGTCAGTAGTTCTGCTTCTTCTACAAGGACATGGATCCTCGACACTGAGGCTTCCGACCACATTGTTTGCTCATTAGACAGTCTTAGTACCTACAGAAGGATTCACAATGTTTCCATCATATTACCAACTGGGGATAGAGTTGGAGCTACTCATGTTGGTACCATTAATCAGATTGCTGGGTTAACCTTAGAGGATGTGTTGTTCGTGCCACATTTCACGTTCAACCTAATCTCAGTAAGTAAGTTAACCACAAACAGGTCATTGTGCTTAACTTTTTACTCTGATTTATGTTTAATACAGGACATGGAGCTGAGGAGAACGACTGGTTCTGCTAAGCTCTCCCATGGCCTCTATCATATGCAAAACATAGGAGTAGACAGTAATCCTAAAACCATAGCCACCACAACTCTTAATCCTTTTGACCTTTGGCATTTCAGATTAGGGCATGTCTCCCATAGCAAGATTCCTCATTTGAAAAGACTTTTTACATCCATAGAGACAAACATATCTTTACCCTGTGATGTTTGCCATTTTGCAAAGCAAAAGAGGCTGCCTTTTTCATCTAGTTCTTCTGCAACAGTGAACCCCTTTGAACTAATTCATGTTGATATTTGGGGTCCTAATACTAGCCCTACTTATGATGGATTCAAGTATTTTCTTACAATTGTGGATGACTATACTCGTATGACTTGGATAATTCTCATGGAAACCAAGGCTGAAACCAGAACCAGATTACAGGAATTTTGCACTCTGGTAGAAAGACAACATCCGTGTCGTGTTAAGAGGATTAGGAGTGACCAAGGTCGTGAGTTTCTCATGTCAGAGTATTTCCTTTCCACTAGCATTATCCATGAGATGTCTTGCATTGAGACACCACAACAAAACAGTAGAGTCGAAAGGAAACACCAACACATCTTGTCCATAGCTACAGCTCTCAAATTCCAAGCTAACTTACCTACTGGTTTTTGGGGAGATTGTGTGAGACATGTTGTTTACTTGATCAATAGAGTTCCTACACCTATCCTAAACAATATCACCCCCTATGAAAAGCTATTCAACAAACAACCTGATTTAACAGCTTTGAAGGTATTTGGTTGTTTAGCTTTTGCATCCACTCTTAGCAACCACAGAACAAAATTCCAACCAAGAGCTCGAAAAGGCATATTCATTGGTCACACACAAGGCATCAAAGGTTATAAGATCTATGATCTTGAGAGTCATGATATATTTACCTCGAGAGATGTCAAGTTTTATGAGTCTTCTTTCCCTTTCAAAGATTCTTCCCAGGTTCCTACTGCACCTGAAAATCCCTCCTTCGCTGATCTCTATACCTTTCTACCAGATTACACTTCCTTCTCCCCTGACATCCAAATTCCCCAACCACCCTCTAATCCTTTTTCTTCTTCTTCTTCTTCTTCTTCTTCTTCCTGCCCTCTTCCTACCTCTCCACTCCCAACCCAGCCTTCGCCTCCATAACCTGCTCCACCTACTACCATTACCCAATCTTCTGCTGATGCACCCATAGCTGTCAGGAAAGCTACCCGCCATCCCAAACCCCCTTCACATCTCCAAAATTACCACTACAACATGCTTATGCAGTCTTCTTCAACCAGTCATTCAACTTAGCTTCCTAATCCAGGTATTACATATCCTCTCTCTGTTGTGGTCATTATAATTCCTTATCAGATTCTCACAAGCATTTTGTCTTGAGTATTTCATCTCACAAAGAGCCAGAGTCTTACCAAGAGGCCATCCTCAGTCCTGAATGGGATGATGCCATGATCAAAGAAACCACAGCCCTTGAAAAGAATCATACATGGGACATAGTCAGCCTCCCACCAAACAAGAAAGTCATTGGGAACAAATGGGTTTATAAGTTCAGGTTCTTACCTGATGGAACTCTTGAGCGACGCAAGGCACGCTTGGTGGCCAAAGGATACAGCCAACAAGAGGGCATCGATTACCAAGACACCTTTGCACCAATAATCAAAATGGCCACAGTAAGATTGTTTCTCGCCATTGCTGCTGCCAAGAACTGGTTTGTCCACCAGAGATATTAACAATGCTTTCTTACATGGAGACTTAACTGAAGAAGTCTACATGAAGCTCCCACAAGGCTACAAAGCTCCTGCAAACATCCCCAATCCAGTCTGTTTACTGTGAAAGTCCTTGTATGGTTTGAAACAAGCCTCTCGCCAATGGTTTGCTAAACTGGCTGATTCTCTCTTCACTCAAGGTTACACATCAAGTAAGGTTGATCATTCTCTTTTCTTCAAAGTGACTTCCCATTCAAACACTTGCATACTTGTCTACGTTGATGATATGCTTGTTTGAGGAGATGACCTCACCGAGATCACATCAATCAAGAGTTTCCTCCATGACACATTCAGCATTAAAGACTTGGGGAATCTAAAATACTTCCTGGCATCGAAGTAGCTAGGAACTCTGCTGGTATCCACTTATCTCAACGAAAATACACCTTAGAAATTATTGATGATGCAGATATGCTCTCGTCTCGCCCTGTCACCACCCCCATGGATTACAAGGTTCACCGCCAGCACCAACAATGATCCCTTCCCTGATCCTGACCTCTATCGCAGATTGGTGGGCAAGCTTGTATACTTGACTACCACACGCCCAATGCAGTCAAAATCGGGATTTTGATCGTAAAATCGTAGGATTTTAGGATTTTACTTAGGGATTCCGATCCTGATTTTACTATAAAATCGGTGGACCTTAAAATTGTTTAAAATCGAGATTAAAATCGTTAAAATCGTAAAACCGTACCAAAATCGGGATTTTGATCGTATGAGAACAAAATAGGTGGTTTGAGCCAATTTAAAAGAAGCATAATTGTTCAGCACAAAGGGCAATGCCATGAATCTTCTCACTTGTTTTTCTGTTAGAAAAACATTTAAAAATAATAAAAATAATCAAATTAGGGCTCTCTTAATCCATTTCCCTTCGTCCCATTTAACTTATTGGTAAAACAATTGTCCTAGTATTGGAAGTATGTAAGAATTAACATTATTATTAACTAACTTATTTATTAATGAATATATTTATACCAAGCCACTAGCATTACTTATTTTATTGGAGTTCAATTATTTTTAGTTTTAAATCATACTTAGTAGACGATGTCGGAATATTACTTTAAGTTAAACTATCTAGACACAACATGAAAACAAGAGGGAAACCCCATGAGCTCTAACCCTTCATCATGAATTATTTTTAGTTACACATTAAATAACAATTAAATAGTAATTTTGGAACATTAATCTTGAGAATTATCATTTTAAATGTTATGTGTCTTTGTGTTATTAATGATTTACCTCACTAATATTCTTATATGTTATGTTCTATATGGTACTTAAAATCCTACGATTTTACGATTCGATTTTACAATTTCGATTTTACCCTAGTTTTCGATTTTAGGTAAAATCCCGATTTTAACTGCTTTGCACACGCCCTGACATTAGCTATGCTACACAGCAAGTTAGTCAGTATATGTCCAGCCCCAGTGTTCTCCACTTCAAGGTCGTTGAACGGATTCTACGATACCTAAAAACAGCTCCTTCTACTGGTCTTCTTTTCTCTTCGACGTCTCCACTCCATCTTCAAGGATTCAGCGATTCAGATTGGGCTTCTTGTGTCGACACTCGCCGTTCAGTGACTGGCTACTGCATCTATCTTGGGAACTCATTGATCTCCTGGAAAAGTAAGAAACAAAAGACAGTCTCGCGATCATCTTGCGAAGCTGAATACAGAGCTTTGGCTTACACATCTTGTGAAGTACAATGGCTCTTATACCTAGTCCATGATTTCAGAATCTCTCATCCCCAGCCAGCATCGATCTACTGCGACAATCAATATGCTCTATATATTGCTGAAAATCCTACTTTTCACGAACGAACGAAGCACATCGAAATCGATTGCCACCTCGTTCGTGAGAAGCTTCAAGCCAACAAAATCAAGCTATTGCACGTCTCCACTTCCCACCAACTAGCTGATCTGTTTACAAAACCATTACCCCCAGCTTCATTCTCTCACTTGTTGTCCAAGCTCGGTGTGCATCAACTATGCCCCCCAGCTTGCGGAGGGGTATCAGACGATTTGTCAAAAAACCTTACCCCTGTTTTGCCCAGATCAGCTTCAACATCAACAGCGCAGTCGACCGTTAGTTGGAGCGACGTCGTACGAGGAAAAGGGAAGATGCCCGTTATGTGAAGCGACGTCGTTCCAGTAAAGAGGATGGCGCCAAGATCGTTAGAGCACAATAACTTTGTATTTGAAATGCTTTTCAACCGTGTCTTTACTATCTTCTTCACCCTTCAATGTTGGACAGTAGTGATCTGTAATGGCTATATAAACCAAACGATGAATGAGAAGCAGCCTAAGGGCTTTTAGGGTTTCAACCCATCTCTGGTAACAGAAGGGCATGGTAGATTGAAGGAGAGCGACATCGACGATGACGGAGGTGAGGGCCGGTGCTAGCTATATTTGGTGGCGCATTGTCGGAACAGGTTCTAGTGGTAGGGTTAAGGAGAACGATGTTGGCGCGTTGCCGAACCTGGTTAGAAGTGGTGGCGACAAGGTCCTGCGGGAGGTAGGAGTTGGGGATTCGGGATGTAGTCAGGGGAGCTCGCTCGCTTGCACCTCTCCGGGCTTCTCTCGATATCCCCATCGCCGATCCTCCTCACTTAGAAGAGCTCCGTCTGTGAAAATTCGGTCAGCTCCTCCTCCTCGTGATCGTCGTCATCATCATCGAATTTTTTTCGTCGGAGCCTGGACACGGGTCTCGCAGGGCTGCGAACAGAACGCCTAGATGGGTGGAGTTCTGGAGCAACAAGGCGTCGGAAGAACTCGACGTCCTCCTCCTCTTCGGATTAACGAGTACATAGGCTAATCGGGTCTATGTTGAGGGAAGGAGGATAGTTATAATTTTTTTCATTTATTTTAATTTATTGTCAAAATGATATGGAAATTGTAAAAAAAATAATTTTTAAAATTTTAATTGCCACGTCATTTATTTAAAAGTCAACTCTCAGAATTGACTGTCATGTCAGATAAAGTTAACGGAGAGTGACCGAACTTGAACTGTGTAACTAATTTAAGTGACTACGGATGAAATAAGTTAATTCTAGTGGCAAACGTGAAGTTTTATAGCAATTCGAGTGAGCAAACCTGCAATTTACCAGGGAAAAAATTGCTCAAAAATATCAAAATGGAGAGCATCTTGTAGAGCACAAAAAAGGGTTAATTGCAAGTTTGGTCACTGGGTTGACAAAAATACGTTCACGTTTAGTCACTAGAAATATTTAATTTCATTTTTGGTCACTAAAATTAGTTTAATAGTTCATGTTTGATCATTCTCCATCCGATTCCGTTATCTTTATCCTACGTGACGGTCAACTTTCAGAGTTGACCGTGACGTGTCATCTAAAAAATAAAAATTTAATCTGTCACATTTTCCACTTCATTATTATAATTGTTAAAAAATTAAAAAACTAATCTCTTACATCTCTCTCCCCCTCTTCGATTCTTACACCACCGTCGACGTCCTCTGCACAGCCCCGATGTGGCAGATTTTCGAGGTCAAGGAAGGATCTGTGACGTTGATGCGTCTTCTCGTGAAGTGATTGTGGATAAAAGTCATGTCAGGCCGGTTTTGGTGTGGACGTAATCCAACGCGTGGGCGAGGTCCATCTGATCCGGATTCTGGAAATCCAGGTCGAGACTATGAAGTCGGGATTCCTCAAGCAATTGATGAGGTTTGCTCCCTTGACGAACTCGTAGACTAGGTAAATGTAGTCCCATGAGATGGACACGCCAAGCAGCCTGACGACGCTGGTGTGGTTGTTGCGGCAGATGACGGACAGGAGGACAAGGTGCCTCCCGTGTAGTTGTCGTCGGAGGAGGATGCACCGATACAGGTGGTGAATGTCCGTCGCTGTCGGGGAGTTTGGGACTGAGTGGCGTTGGAGGAGGAGCAAGAGCGAGTGCGGGAGGTGAGAACGGCGGCATCAATGGGTTCTGCACGGGGAATCGGTGGGAAAATGTCAGCGCGTGCGTAGATAGAGGGACACTAACCATTTGATAAAGGCTGGTTCGGTGGTCATGAAGCGGGTCGTACTCAATGCACACTCCCGCCAGCAATTCTTCCCCCGATTCAGCAAGTGGGTCTACGAAAGAGGTGCGTCACTCTCCCTAACCCTCTCTTTGTGTCGCCTCTCCGTCTCCCTTCACAACCCCCTCCTGCTTTCCCGCTGCTCTCGAAATCAATCTCCGCCAATTTGCCCCTGGTCATTTGAGAACTCAACTCCTGGGCTCTGCCCGCCGGCGACGCTCAATAATGTATTCTGCTCGTTCTAGGCTGCGAAATCTCACCCCGGTCAACTCGGTAGCAGAAGTCGGTCAGTGCCTACCTCCGCTCAACAGCAAAAATCAGTCCCCTTCCCAAAATAGTCCTCTGTAAAACCCTCTGTTGCGAGAAGGAGAAAGGAAAACGGGGGAGCGACTGTGCGAAAAGAGGAAAGAGATTTCAGCAAAAGAAAAAGGTAGTGGGAAAAAGACGGTTTCTAATCATTCCTAAATGGCGGGGCGTTTGTACATTAATCCGCCTAAATATCCTGCCATATCGGCCTCCTAAACTCACTCTAGGAGCAGAAAAATTTGAATGGAGTGTGCAGTTTTACTTTTCAGCTATAAATGATACTGTTGATTACATAGTTATTTATTGATATAGTTGATCTAAACGAAATCATTTGTTTATAACCCTTGAAATTTGTGCTGTGGGTTTGACAAGATGTTTGATTTTTTTTTCTTTTGCTAAATTCTAATTTGCAGCTGAAAGAAGAAGACGATATATTCAATAAACCGGAAAGGAAATCAACAAATTTAACCAATCCAACCTTACAACTTACATAATTATAACTTAACTAATTAAAGAAGCTTCCTCCTAAAACACTTCCATAACTAAGACGATCCCTCAACAATCCCTAAAACGGAGCGAATGTAATCAGAAAAATGCAAAAAACAAATTATGAATGATGAAAATAAAATTGCCATAAAAAAGTTGGCAGCAATCTCAGGGTCGAACGAAGCTGCAAAGGAGGAGCCCTTCTTCTTCTTCTTCTCCAACTCAAGGACTCTGTTTCTGATAATTGGATCAGGCAGCAGACAACGATCAAGTTCAGCTTGCTTCTGCTCGACGAGTCGGGATGTCTCTCTATAGGGACGAACTACGTAGGCCAGAATCCATGCCGTCATACATCGGAGGTTGAGGTATGATGGGAACCCCTCCGCCAACCCGATCGAGATTTTCAACCACACACTCAAGCCCTTGTCGACGACGTAACAGAGCATCATAAACACCTGAATTGCCATCCAAATCTTCTCCGATGTCTCCATTCGATCGACGGAGGGGTCCTCCTCCTTCAGCTCAAGGACTCTGCTTTTGAGAACCGAATCATCATCGAGTAGATGGATAAGGTCCTTCTGCTTCTTCTCCTTAATCACGAGGCGTGCGGATGTCATAAGGTACAGGCAGGTTAGGGAGACCAGAATGCCTGCGGTTATACATCCGGAGATGAGGTCTCGTGGGAACTCATCCAATTTTTCAATGTATTCGAACAGGATGTTCATCAACAACACGAAGCCGTCGAGGCCGATAACACAGAGCACAGACTGCAGGACGAAGAGCCACGTCATTCTTGATGTCTTCATCATTCTGTGCGCAAGCGGGCAAGGAGAGATCGATGGATGTTCTTTCTACTCTGTTTTTCTGTCTATATATAATCGAATCATCGTCGGTGGCGCTCTCTCTGGCTTGAATTTAGGAGTTGCTCTGCTATCCGAAGTAGGATTCCCTTTCTTTTTCGGAACTGGATTTTTGTTTTTTGTTCCTCGGAATGATATTAATAACTGAACACTTGACACTACTGGGCCGGCCTGGAGGGGTTTTGGTTTATGGATCGGTGGGCTGATTGTCTTTTTAGGCCTATACAATCATAATCCAAAATATTCCGCTAGGAAAAACGAGTTTACAATTATTTAATTTGATTTTTTTTAGATTTCCTCTTGTTAAAAAATTTAAATTTTTTTATCATGTTCATAATATCAAAATAATTGAACCGATTTTGCTTGTCTCGTGGATTGATAGTCAATTTAAATGGTTAAATCACATTAATTTTTAGTTTTCAATTGTTAGTCAATAATTTCAACGTAACTTGGAATCTTTTATGTAGCTTTTATTTTCCGAAATTCATTGGATTTTTTCATAATTGATTTATTTCCTTTTTTAAGATTTAATTTGAACTTGCTATTATGTTGTGATAGTTAAGCAGTTAACTGATAAAATAGCCGTTAATCACACTATGGGTTAACGGTTAACCAATGAGTTTTGTGTGTCAGCTAGCAATAGATTTTTTTTTACTTAGCGATTAATCACAAATCACATTATCAATTAACGATTAACTATGAAGAGAATATTATTAGAAAGACATCAATGCTAAGCATTCCAGTCCAGCTAAGCATAGAAGGTGACCCAATCTGGGTATCCTTTTTCGTCTCACCAAAGGCCAATGTTTCTGTTACTTGAAAATAAAACTGTTCAAAACTATAAATCACTAGAACGGATGCCTCAGCTGCACCGGGTTTTACAGCGGTAAGGGTCATGAAAATCCTCAGGTTGCTACGTATTACAAAATTTCTTGCAGATAAGCTTCTCCAATTTACTAAAGAGATTTTGACATTTAACAAAAGGCAGACCGTTCAATTCTGAAAGCATAAGGCATAGTCCAGGGAGGTCCTCGCCTATGAAGGTTGGATGCCAAACCTTTAAAGATTCTTTAAAAGGTCTATTGGCTGCAGCACCAGCACCAGATATCACTTTGTTAGAGGACAAAGCCAAAGCACCCCAAACTCCAATCAGCAGCAGGTATCTTCTTCTGTCTTTCCTCATCTGTTAAGAGTTCAGCAATGGGAGCTGCAAAGTTCAGTCTTCTTCATCCGTTAGAGTTGCAAAAGAAAAACAAGTCCCCTGGTTTAAACCAACTGGAGACTATACAAAAACAGAACTTTCAATGACACGGAAGGACGAGGCCGTAAGGGCAGTGTTAAAGAAAACACGATTAATCTCTCGCCTAGGCGCGATTAATAGCTGGGCAGGACGAAATCGCCCCGTCTAGCCCTGGGCGATTGATCTAGGCACCTAGGCACTCGGATGCGCGTTTTCACTCTGGTGGGCGACGCCCATAACAACTAATAAAAGGGGAAAGTGTAGCCTTTTTTTGAAAATCCCAAACCCTATTCTATTTCCCATTTCCATTCGACCAGCCGCTCCCCCTCATCGACCAACAGTGAGATCCCTCCTCATTGTTGGCGACTTGGGATGTTTGGGATTGTGGAAAAGGGTTGTATGTGAATATGAATGGATGAATAATGATATGTCAACTTGGGTTTTTGTGGAATATGGCTTATCTATCATATTTTTTTGCAACATTTAATCTCGCCTAGGCAACGATTAATCGGCCTGGGCACTGGGCGGTGCCTCCTCGCCTAGATAGCGCCTAGCATCTTCTTGAACATTGCGTAAGGGTAATACTAATAACATAAGCTTTATCAAAGCGCTACGATAATTTGAAACAGAAGCAGGTTAGGCGGAATCTACTCTTACAGACTCACCTTTAAGTTCTGGTGCAATCTCATTAAAGAACAATGACTACAGTGGCCAAATAGTGGAGAAAAGGGAAAGTTGCCAGATAATGGAGAAATAACTGAGAAAGGTGCATAGAAAACAACTGAAACAGACTTGACATCAATGAGCAAATGTTGGCAGTTCTAGTTTTCTGTACATTTGAACCATTATCAAGAATCACACCAGCAACCCCCCAAAATGGATAAGTGATCATCCAACCAGAGCCTAAAACTGTGAAAGCTTACCCACCTCTCTATTCATCAAATAATAAAACATCATATCAGCTTCAAGATTATGGCTTGAATGAGCGGATTCAATGATTTGGTCTTTGATCAATAATTCCTTTAAGGAATACAATAAAAGCGTTGAAAATCTAAACATACAATCAATTGATAACTATGAAGCTACTGAAACATCAAATTTGTTACTTTACACTTCGTTTTCATGATTTTCTCATGAACTAATCAAAGACTGACTTCCGAGGATGACTTAGACACGGCATAAAGGACATCAGGCAAAATTCAATTCTAAACAACTGTAATTTGAGCCTAAGCAAAACTATGAAAAGCTAGACTGTATAAACATTCCAATGGGAAAAAGAAGCAAAAGACTGTTTTTTACTAATAATCAATTAATTCAGGAGAAGAGAGGTATAAGGGTAGGAAACTAATGGTACGCAAAACTACATGGTGGCATTAGTTCTTGAAGATATTTCCAGAGGAAAGCCAGAGATAAGGAAATAAGAAAGTGATGGACCGGCAGAAATCAGAAGGCGAACCCATAATCTGTTGAGATGGAAGGAGACTCCACAGTTTTTGCATAACAAATCAGAAATGTACCTCAAATCGCAGATCCAGAAACCCACCCACCAAGCATTCAAGCCCCATTTTACATCAGAAATAAGATTAAAGCTAATGGAGTAGTAATAGAGCAACCACTAACCTGGATGAAACATGTCTGAGATGGATCAAGCACAGTGTTTCCTGGAGGGACAACCACATCAATTAGTGCAATCAGACAACACGAGCAGGAGATCCGACCTGGTAATTCAGATTGTTGCAGCAAAAAGACATTTGTCAAACCAATATGTAAACTCAACGGACATGTAGCTAGCACAAGTAAATAGCAACTACATGGTCAAGTATATTGTTGGTTTTCACATCATCTGGACATTCTAGAGACAGTTTACCTCCCTTCTCCTAGGTTCACAAGATAAAAAATGATTTCCAGCTTGACATGGTGCAGGCGCTTTTTGACTGGAAATATCCCAGCTTCAGGTGCTCCTATAGGCATTCAACGGACAATTGCTCAATAATCAACCAACTAAAAAAAACCGCCAAATACTAACAGCAATAATACACATACCCTCAAATAGGTGCTCCAATCTGCATCTCTTGCCCAAAGAAACCGGTTTCAGGATTCCATTTCATGATGCTATCCGTGGTTATTGCACCAGATTGTCCAACGCTCCTTTGTGATATTCCAGTGTTTGTCAACTGCTTCTTGTCAATATGCAACCAATCTATTCTATTTAATGCTTGTAAGATATTGTCCCATCCATATTTAGTGAAACAAGTAGAGGGTCTATTCCCTTCAAAGTCTGATCCAGACAGGTATCCACGAATACTTTCTGATTGCAGGAGTCCAATGTGTTTTTGTTTTCCCCATCAACTTACAAGATATTTAGTTCTCCTTAATCCAGCTTTGCTCACACCGCATCACAATCACAACTGCAATAAGCAATTCAATGGGTTAGCATACCTCCCGCAGCAAACCCAGAAGCTTGAAACAGGGAATGAACTGAAACAGCCGAACCAGTAAGTGATTCCCCCAAGCAATTACTTGAAACAGAATGCAAACTTGAGCAAATCCCAGTTGATTTCATGCCACAATAACCGAGTTCAAAACGCTATATGATAATATAATTGAGCACATGGTAGAGGGTAATTGCAGAAAGCAATCGTAGACCTACCTGCAAATGCAACCCGGCGGAGCCCCGTTTCACTGAAGGACTCTGCTTTTGGCCATCGACTTTTCTGTGCAAGCTCTCGCTAAGCTAGGCATATCACAAGCGCTGAAATTGACCCTGGACCCTGGGGGTTGGGTTGGAACTGGGAAGAAGATCGTCTATGGAAGATCGTTCCTTTTCTTACGCCGGCAGGTAGAATTTAGAAAGACTATTTTATAGGCCCAAAACAATCAGCCCAACGTGCCCAGAAGCCCAAATCCTCCCAAAAGCTTATCAATCCAGTGATCCAAATAGTTATTATTATTAATTAATTCAACCATCTATGTTATGTACTGTAAAACAACCATCTTCCTTGAACTAATTATCTGCAAATGATTAAAAAAAAAAATTATCTGCAAATGAGAATTCGGAATTCAGAAGAAAGAAACCAATTCAGGGGAGCGAATCGTCATTATTATTCATCCTTACAAAACTGTAGATACAACAGGAGGGAATTCCTCAATATGATTCCATCTACAACCCTATGAACAGTTCAATCAAAATTGGAATCAAGCCATGAAACCACTATACCCAAATCCCAGATCAATTCACAAAATTCTACTCCACAGAAGATCGCCAAATCAAACCCCAATTGAATTCAGACGCGTTCCTAGATCTACTGGAACAGCACAGACCACAGGAAAACGGAAAAGAGAATGGCCAAAAGAACCAATATTAAACTGGACAGCCACGAACAGATTCCTCTGGAATTTCCGTCGTTTCCCCTGTTTCTACGATCTTTATTTTCAGCCCTGCTCCAGGATCGCCAATATGCGGCACCCGTCAAAAAATTACGCCTCTCATTATAATCTTGATGGAAACTAGTGAGCGGGGAGGATAATAGGAGGTCAACATACGTCGGTCGCACTAACTCAGTCATCAGGTCGACCGCGATGTACCAGGTGTGTTCCAGTTCAAGAGACGTAGTCAATCGTCTCTATCATCATTAGGTTGTTCAGAGAGAGTCATTCGTCTCCAATCAACCTCGTCCGAGATGTTATTCATCTCGAGTTTTGTGGTTCAAGCCATCATGCTTGTTCTTCACATTTACTTCTTCAAGCTCGACATTCTTGTGTTCCGTGTTATTTCGTATTTCCGCATCATCAAATTCTACAGAGGATGAATGATCAAGACACACAGGATGACCATGCCAAGCACAATTCTCAAAGCAACAGGGCAATTCTTAGTTGCAATGGAAGTGTCAAAGTGCTGATACGTCTTACTCGTTTCTGGGTATTGAATGCCCCAATTGTCCGCTCCCTGCTGCAGCTGCTGCTTAGGATCGGCTTCAAACAGCTCGTAGACGTAGGCCGGGCTACTCCTTTTCTCAGCGGCGATCCCTCGCCGGTGGTCAACTGCGACTTCAAGTACGACTCAGCGTACGACGGATTAGCGTTGGACTCGGCGGTGCTGTCTACTGCTGAGCTTGGCCAGACCGTCTCGTCGACGAAGACGATCAAGGGGATGTTCCCGTGGCCGATGACCTCCAAGGATGTGAGGACAGCATCCACCATCACATTGAACAGATTTCCGTTCCGGACTCCAGTGGCGAAATCGTCGCGGAAATTGGAAGCGCCTTCATGAAACAGAGCAAATCCGGGCGAGATCTGAGAGCGCAATCTGTACATGTTGTGCGGGTACAGATTCACCAAGAAGGAAGAATTGGTGTCTTCCAAGAACTTCAGCAGTGGCCGGATCACCGCCCCGCCGATCGGCTCCTGGAAAGTGGCCGCCGAAGGAGGACACACCGCCATCACGATGTTGATGAAGGAAAAGGTCGTGGAGACGGAGATCGACCTGATTCCGATGTCGTCTCTGAGCGCGACGTGGACGTTGCGTATGGCAGGCAGCAGGAACGAGATCTGAGAGACGGCGACCGCGTCTTCGCCGACGGAGATCACTGCGATCTTGGAGCGCGGATAGAAAGGGAGGACGTGGACGCGGAGCCACTCGACGGCCAGAGTGCGACTGGAAGCCATCGGAGCGATAAGGCCGTTTGGAATTGCAAGAATCACAGAGGTGTTGGTGAAGTTGAAGGCTCCGATGAGGTTGGGATCGGGATGCTGGAGACGGACGACGTCGAATCGAAGATCGGGGAAAGCGGAGGCGATGGCCTCTGGCGGCGGCGGAGGAGTCGGCAGCGACGAATGGCCGCCGGTTGAGGAGGATGGAGACGAGGCGAGGGCAGAAGTGTCTGTAACGAAGGCGGCGGTGGAGGATGCGCTTGGAGTGGAGAGGATGGAGGAAAGAGAGAGCAGGAGGAGGAGGTGGAAAAGCTTCAGCGGAGCATCCATGGCGGTCCTTTAGTGAATGAGAGAGAGAGAGAGAGTGTGGAAAATCGAGAGCGGGTGAGGTTGTTGTGAGCGGAGGAGATTCTGTTATGGAAGTCTCTGAGTCGAGAGCGTGCTTTTTTGTGTGGGCTACTGTGCTTATAAGGCGGCGGTGGCGGTTGATGACGTCGGCGTCGCTGGCTGGAAATTGGGCGGGAAAGAGGAGAGAGAGTGTGAGAGGAGGAGAACGGGGTGACGGTGAAAGAGTTCACGAGGCGGGTTGGATCTGTTGTGCTGTGGGCTTGGACTGTGTGTTCACGAGGCGGGCGGGAAAACAAAATTTATTTCGCCTAGTTTTGAGCCCGCAACTCGTTTCTGGGCCTAATAAAAGCCCAGTTAAAATACTTGTGCTGGTCTGCAAAATTCTGCACAACCCGGTCTTCGTGATACGATGATATATATGATACGATGATATATATGCATAGTTTTACACACCGGGATATTGTAGCGAAACCCAAGCCATCTTTTATTAAGCTTATAAAAAATAGTTTTTTTATAAGTGTGAAATCGAGATACTATTTATGGTTGTTCTTCGAAATCACCAGAGAGACCACCTGAATTATGTATAATTGGTTGCTTCACTCTACTCCTTACTCTGTCATAATGCTCGAATGGTTGCTCATGTCGCCTCTATCAAACTAAAATTCAGTTCGTGCACCATCTACTATATATCTGCTTAGCTCTCAAAATCATTATAAATCTTCTCATACAATTTATGATCATATATTTAGAATGATTCTTATATTGTATTGTTATTTAACGATACGTTGTGTGATCGTGTCGTACCTTACCCCTTGAAAAGCCTTCAAACATGACAGTTGATCAGCACGCACGTACGTTGTAGGGGATTGAAGTTCTACTCAAGCTGGATAAAGTAGCTTCCTTTCTAAGTGATACCGTGCCACCTGAACTCAAAGTTCCATTTGTGTAGATGTAAGTATTTTGTCATTTTGGATGCGTAAATTCCATTTGATCAATTTAGAAAATAGATGAGAACTAATCTGCGTCTCTTTCATTGGATGTAGCATGTCACTGACCCAACTCTCTAGTTTTGTTATTGGCCAACTATATTTCCATGGGCTCTGTGATGTCTTACTTATTTTCCAATAGAAACTACTATTTCCTATCCTTGCTTTGCTCATCCTAATTTACATACAGTTATACTTCCGATTCGCATGATTTACTTGCAGTATGTAGGTAGGGTTTAAAACATTACTTCCACCACTTACCCTTGTTTCTACAACACATGTTGAGTCTTCCTTGCGCCTACTCTTCACTTTATGTGCTAGGACCTGAAATGTGACAAAGGAACACAACCTAGCGTAAAATAGGCCAAAGAAGCGATAATGCAAGGTTAAACGATCAAGAAACAAAAGGGAAAACATGTGCAAATATCGAGTCATCACGCTTGCATCTATCGCTAGCAGGTGAGATTTGGGTTTACATCTTATCCCCTTCCTCTGATCTCCCTTTGTAGCCGTCGGCCGTCAATTGAGAAATCCCAGATTTAAACCCAAAGGAAAATTGCAGGTTGTGCCAAGGGAGTAATACTGATTTGCCTGATTAAGTTGAAAGCCGAAGAAGAACTGGTTAGGGACCATTAAGGGAGGCTCGCCTGCATTTTTTTCCCCTGTGATAGTCCCAACGGAGAGGAGAGGAAGAAGACGAGGTTGTTTGAGGATTTGCGTCCTTTTTTAATTTTTTGGATAAAAACAAAATAATTAATCACTCAAAAGAAATTTAAAGGGATAAAAAAACAAAGAAATGATTACGTAAAAGAGAAAAGGAATTCACAATAAAAATAAACTAGTTTTTTACCCGCCCGTTGGGCGGTGTGTTTGAGTGAGTTCTTTTTTCGCATCGTATTGTCATATAATTTTTTAATGGTTTTGGGTGTTCACAATGATACTTTTTTTTTTGTATTTTTCGTACTTATTTTTGTGTTGCGTTAGTGGTCCTTCCTATTTTAGTGTGTGATTTTAGGTTGTGGACTTGTGGTCCTTCCTGTTAGAAGTCATTCCGGAAAATATTTTTGTTTAGTAGTTTGTGTCTAACGTTTAAGGTGTGTGTTTCTACTGATTGTCATTTTTTAAAAATATTTTTTTTATAAGGGTGAAAAATGTATAATAGACAGAGACATAGACATAGACTAAATAATTTTTAGTGGGCGATGTTGTCGGTGCTGTTCAATGTAGTGGTGAGGTTTTTTTTATTATGTAAAATCAAATTGTTTATCATATTCTTCTCCTTCCTTAGTGTAAAAATTAAATTAAATAATATAAATTTTATCCTTTTGGAAATTGTAGTGTAGTGAGTGAGCGGTGTGGGGAATTAGTGGAGAAGAGAATCCTTCCACTCGTTCTCCGTTCTATTTCCGGGCGATTCTTGTCCATTACAGCGATGATACCTTCGACGCCGGCAGAGTTTAGGGCATGTATTCCGGGGCAATCTATTTGGATCTGCATATATTCCAATCTATTTCGGGGCATGTATTCTGGTTGTAGGTCATCGTCTCCGAATTCGCCATATCTTTCGTGGTGTTTCGCAAACGTCTGGGTCGGTGTCGCCCCTATCCTGATTTCTTTTCTTTTGTCGTGATTTGCTTGCCGTTTTTATGCTGAATTGTGGCCATTACTTATGTTCTCAGGTTGGTTGCTATCGTGGATGCTGGTGGTTGTTTCCGTGTCGCTGGTTGAAGAGACCCAGAATAGTAGAGTATGAAGGTAGTACAACAATATAGGCGGCCGGAATTTGCCTGGTGTTAGTACTGGGTATGTGTCGTGTTTTAAAATTGAATCCCTACCTTCTGTGATACTTTGATGTAGTGATAGGATTTTCCTCTGCATTAAGCAGGTTAAATTATCTTGTTCCTATCCCTGGGTTTCTATATTCAACTGTAAAGTGTATGTGTTTTGCCTGATTAGTTGTTGTGCTCATAGCGCTGAATTCTAGAAGTATGGCTGTGTAATTGCGATGGGCAAAAGGGCTTGTCATTTGATCTTTAGATTAGCTCTAAAGGTATGGTTTGGGGGAGGTTAGGGTGTGTGAAGGTGAGCAATGTTTCAGCTTCTGTTTTCCTCCCGTTTGTGGGACTGGTTACTTTACAATTACTAAGTAAATTGGTGCCTTGTTTACGTGAGCACCTTTCATGTGGAACATCCTATTATATAGCAATAGGTTTAGTAATATCTTCCAGTTGTTGAATGATATGCCATTAGCTTGTTCCAATTGTCAAAATATTGTTTGATAGTCCGGGCGGGTTATGTCGTTGAAATGTGAAAGATAAATAGTTGTGGTGTCCTTTGTGAGGACAATATTGCTAGTTTTGGTATAAATTATTCTAGATGAATGGACGATTGTACCACTTAAGTAATGAAGGCTCCATTTCATTTCATAGGTGATATGTAGTTTATTACTATCTAGAAGCATGAAAAGCTGAGGAATTATTAAATGCCTAGTACGGTTGCACTTAGCGGATTGTTATTATTTAGCAGCTGTAAATTGATAGGGGAAAAGAAGTAGGTTGTGGCCGGGGAATCTTTGAATTTGCTTGAGTGTGGTGGTTGAGTGGTTGCTTAGTCAGAATCGCTGATGACCTGCCTCAGTCTTCTCTTCTTATTTCCATTATTGGGTTTGGCGCTGATGCATTCTTCTGAGCTGCTGCTGTCCTCCCAGCTTGTCTCAGAGACGTATGTCTCTTCCTCACTGACCTGTTCATCAGGGCTGTCCTCATATTGGATATTTTTGTGTTGTTTGACGCGTTTGCCCTTCCCATTCTTCTTGGTTCTGTTGTTGTCCTGTTTTGATTATGTTAGTTGGTGGTGGGTTGTGTGATGTATACTTGTGTGTGATGTATGTATACCTGTTTTTTCATGTTTTGCGGTTTTTTCCCTTTGTAGCTCTTTCTTCTTCCTGTGCTGCTAGTGGTCCAGCTTTTTTGTGATTCATCGGTGTCCTCTTCGCTGTGTGATTCCTCATACTTGGTAGCATGGTTCTTTTGTTTCTTGTGGCGTTTTAACTGTCTCATTTTGTGACCTGTGTTTCTCTTTTTGCTCTGAGCCTGCATATATTTCAAATATTTCAGTATCATTATAATAAGACATAAACAAATAGTGATCGTATGTCTTTAGTTGTACCGTATTATTCTTTCGGCGTGCTTGCATCGTTGTGCTATTCTGGTCATGAGTTGTGCTAATTGCAGAGATTATGTATTGATCGTTCATGTTCCTCATGTTGTTGTCGGTCAGCTTGATTGTGAATTTGAATTTCTGACCGACCAAGTCAAGTAGCATGTGTGGGATTTGTTGGCCTTTCCTTGGTTTGTTGTTGTATAATTCTCTTGCTGGCTTATTGAGGAATTTCTCTCCGGCATTGTCCAGCAACAAAAACTCTGTATTTGATGTGTCATCTTGTACCAACAGCTTGATGTGGTACCTATAAGCAGTGGTGGCAATTTGTTACCTGTTGTTTGTTTGTTTTTTTTTTTTTGTCGTTGTAGGATGGGTTTTTTTCCTGTTACCTTCTTGTTGCCAATGATGAAGTGGAGTCACAGTTGCTGCAGTAGAATTCTGTTGCTGTTTGGTTCTGTTTGTTGACCTCTTCCACCTTTCTGGGACAGTCCCAGCAGCCTATGTAACTCCAATTCTCTCTAATGGATGTGATTCTACACCTGACATAATAGCTCTTGTTCTGGGGAAAGAAGTCATTATGGTTACTTGGTCCTTTTGTTTGTATATTCTTGAGTGTGATATATATAGTTTACCTTGTTGCTTTCTTCTTGCTTGTTGCTTTGCAACTCTGCTATTGTCGCTTGTTGGATCTCTGGTGGGGCAGGTTGTTCTATCATAACCGGTGCTTGGTTATTGATTGCTTCCTCATCATCTGTGGCCGTCTGAATTAACTCATTTAGCTCCGGTATGTCCAGCTGGTCATAAAACTTTGTAGCCGTTGTGCCGGAGAGGTGA